CGCTGACTAGGTAATGTTGTCCGAATGAGAGTATTCGACGCTGTACCCGTCGGGGAAAACAGAGAAAGAGGAAGATCCCACCCCGTTGGAAGGACCAGGGGGAGAATCACCAGGCTACGCTTAGAATATCCAATTGGCGACAAGTAGCGAAAAGAGAAACGACTGGGGCGCTGGTGTTAACAGTAAAGAAGAAGAAAATCGCGTGGTATATTTTTTGGAATGTATAATGCATATTTGCGCTCCTGGTAGCAAGAATTAAAGAAATAATAAAACTTCACTCTTCATTATCACAGATGAAATCAGCCGACTACACGTTTACCATTTACCAAAATTTGGAACCGTTTACCCGAATGGCATTAACAAACGCTTGGCGCGCCTACAGTGCCGCTATTACTCATACGCACCCATGGACACTGATTGCTATATACTTTATGCGTATACAACAAATGTAAACATTTTAATTTTGCTGCGATATTGCTTCTATGCAAACAGCCTGAGTTAATTGATATATATGTGTGTGTACCGTTATCAATTACGTTTGATTGTGGCGGACACAAGTGGTTTGGTTCTGAAACCGACAGCCGAGCAGATAATCCATCAATTTTCACATCAAATGAAAATTGCTATAATATATATATACCAGGCCTGCAGTTGAAGGATATAAGGCCTATATGTCACACTAATTAGGCTTGTATGCGATCGTTTACAATTGGCAGGTAATAAATGTGTTGAACATTGGTCGAATTAACAGTTAATTAAAACATGACGGCAGTGTTGCTCGGAATTACTGCAATTCGGCATAGCTTTTGTTGGCTTGTGGGCACAGCGTTGGTTGGGATAAGCCAGCATTAGTGGTTGAAAAGTTTAATGAGTTGATTGAGCCTTAACTATTCTAATTTGCGCAATTGGTGGTGAAAATTTACAAAAACATTCGCAAATGAATTTTTTTAAGGGAAATCAAATGTTTATGCAATTACTTTTTTTTGGCAATAGTAGAAGTAATTGTTTTTTATATATTTTTTTGCTTCGCCTTGATGAATTCGTTAAGAGCCGGCACCCAATTGGCGCACAAAATGAATTTAGTAAAAATGTTTACAAATATTTCCATTGTTGCGCAATTGTTTGTTTGTTGTTGGCCTTTGCTGTGCAAATATTTGTCATTCAGTTGAATGCTCGGCTGCTGCCAAAGCGGTTTGGCTCAGGGCTTACCATTAGTTAGTAGTTACAATGCCACAAAGTCATTCCATTGTTAGCATTTTCATATAAATGTTATTGTCTGTGCATGTGTTGACACATATCCATGCGCAAACAGATGAGCAATTCAGTGAACACAAATTTAACGTAAAAAGCAAGTGTATTTGATGGAGTGTTTACCGCTATAAATCGATTTCAGTAATTTCGCGCAAAAAAATTAATTTCACAAATACACAGTTTACATAATTCATTTGTATTTGTAAACACTATTTGTGAGATTTCATTTAATTTATTTATTAACACTATGATTGCGTCAATTTAATAGTTTAAGGATTTAAAATTGTAACTTAAGTAAAAGATGGCCAAGTGAACCGAAAAGAAATGTGATGCAAATCAATCTAATAGTGAAAAGTGGGTTTTCATGTAAAAGTGTACACTGCCACTCCCATTGCTTTTAGCGGCTAAACGCAGAAAAAATAACCGAAGCTATAATCTACTTCCGCTTACGCGATTAAAGCCGGGTTTACAACAGTGCGCCAGTCGTTTCTTACTTTTCGATGCTTGACGCCAATTGGAGATTCTAAGTGTAGCCAGGTGTTTTTTTCGGAATTTTTGATAACATCTATCGTAAAAATGGCTGAGTGAATGAGATGCGTTTATTCACTGGCGGACACGATTTCTCATGTTTGGATCTTGTGAAGCATAAAATCCAATTTATCATTAAAAAGTACGTGAATAGTTATCGTCCCTACTAGAATCATGGAAAACTGTTGATAAATAAAAAAGTAATTACCTTTTTTTTACTTTTTCCCTATGTTTTTTTACATAAATTTTGCCATAACATTTTCAATGAATTATAAAAAATTGTGAGCGACGATAGCCAGGCATTTTGTGAATATTAAACAAAATAAGAAAATCGGATGAATAGTTCGACCGGAGTCATGTCCGCCAGTTTAAAACAGTGTGTTTTGAGACAAACGCGTATACAGTTTGAAATGTGCACTCCGAGCGCTCCGAACGTCGAGCGGTATTATTATTTTTGGGCCTTTTTCGAATCCTTCCAATGGTAAAGTGGGTTTCTACATTAATCCGAAGGATGTAAGGGAACAGAGAATGCAAAAAAATTAAAAAATTAAAAGATTACCCTACTGACCCCTCAATTTGCTATATACCATATACTGTATTAATGTTGTCGTATATCTCGTACAGCTCATAGTTTCGTCAACAGAGGTATTCGCCATTGCCTACTCAGTCCGCAGCTGACGTTGTTGTTGGTGTTAATACTGGTTCCAAGATAGATGAAATTACAACTACGACTTGGAAGTTATAACTGTGAGCAGTGACGTGGGAGTCAAGTCGCGAGTGTGGCAACTGTTTGTTTACGACAGGAAATATTTCGTTTTTCTTCAGTAAGTGCAGAACCTACTTAAATTCCAATCTTCGAGCATGCTTTCGTCATACCATATTCTACAAAGGAGTTGATGCATATCAGTTCTTCGCCGCCTTGAATATCTGGGCCGGCAATACGTCGGATCCCGCCGCTTTGTTGCTCTTCGGACGGGTTCGCCTCTTCTGGCGTTCTGCCATGCAGCAGGCTGGAGAAGTGTTCCTTCCATAATTTTAGTATGCTCTTGGCATGACGCACATTATCACAACTGGGGTTCTGCAAGAGTATGTATGGCAGTTGTATGCTATAGTGATCTGATAGTGTCGATTCTGACAAATAAGCAGCTGCTGTGGGAGAAAAGATCATGTGCAAAACTTCAGAGGGATATATCGAAAACTGAGGGACTGGTTCGCATACATACACACAGACAGCGAACAAATTATAAAGATGATCACCGTAACATTTAATGTTTATATCAAGCAATGCTGGAAGGAAAAGTTTCAGTCACAAAATCTGGTTGATATGTTTTCGTAGAATTTATAAGTTTTCAGCTTAAATTTTGATCTATATTAGTTATAACCATTTGGTTTTTCTCTAATAACGGCCTTATCTAGGCGTGACAGTGATCTTGTTTTACTGACCTGCAACATTAACATACTCAGACTTTCAGGTAATTAGTGTATCGACGAGCACGGACTCCAGGAATTCAAATCGTCTCCACTTTCTGATCACTTCGTTATTTAGAACCCTGTATCTATCGCGAATTGTTGGTTCGAATTAATGAACAATAATATTTTTTTTAAAATGGAAAATAAGTTAGCACTTTTTCAAATAGTTTGGACTATAATGTCTTTCGCCATTCTTCTGATCTCAAATAAAAATTGATCCTTTATGTCCCTTTAAAATAGTATAACTACTTTTTTCGGTGCAACCAACTTTGTCTTAGGGTTTTTTAGAAAAGATTTTATATTGCGAATGACTCTTCTTATCCTTTTTTGTCGTAAACACCGCTTACGCGGTTGTAGTCGAGTTTACATCAGCGAAGGCTGTTGTTACCTTTGCATTGTTGTCGGTTTTTACGTGGAGGGTTCCAAACCAAGCGCACTATCCTGTGTAGGGAATTGAGAGTGGCTCAAATGATAAAATACTGTCAAAATTAAATTTAAGACTTGAAATAAAACCAAAGCGTTAAGAGAAAATTTAAGCCCAAAGTGGTCAGAGGGTCACTCAAAAATTCTCAAACTCTTTTTAAAAAAGAAACGTCGCGCAAATACATTGACGTAAGAGAACATATTAGAGCAAGATTAAGCCTCAAGTGCTGCCAGCTTGTTCGAACAACTGCTATAGTTTGTTCGATTGGCTACTCTCCAAAATTTAATATTAGGCTCAATATCACAGAGAACTTCATTTGTCATTCAGTTTTGCATATTCAGTTGACAAGTAATGCTTAAAATATTTTTTTATTTCCCACCATGCCTGTTCTTCTGAAGCTTTTGATTTTTTTTTTTTTTAATTTGTAAAGGGTATTATAGATTCAGTGCAACTGAAGTTAAAGGTTTTTCTTATAATTTCTATATTAATGAAAAACACGAAATTTTGAATCACAAGAGTTTTCTTTGTCCCTCATATAAAAAAAAATTAAGAGGAACTCGCCACTGTTTTGTTTTTGAAATATACAATACTTATTCGCTGTCTTCAGTTTGCTTCTTAAGGAACCAATGTTACTGCCCGAGTGGCGATCAATAACTAATTTTTAGCAACACAAAACATAAACGACTGCAATCGTTAAATGTATAAATTGTTTATTATCAACTTCTGCGTGGTAATATATCAACATTGAGAATCATAAAGTTCGCTATCTTAGGGTCCAAAAAACCAACAAAGACTTATCTATTCACAGATAAGCCTTTTAACTACTGGTATTTAGTATTAATATTTCATACAAGTAGTCACACCAGCCGCTCTTCTTATTTGTCGAGTGCCTCTATGTGAAGTTAAGTACACTCTAAGAAATTTCTTTATTATTTTCTTCTCTAAAGAGGAACCGTCACTGACCATATTGTCCAAAGGATAAAGCCTTCTGGAAACAAAATTTATTGGTTCACCATTGTACACCACTAGGAGATTCAATCGGAGTTTTGAACTTCATCTGGAATGACAACCAGATCGCTACAAAGTATAACAAATAAATTTGAGTATCGGAAGATTGAAGACGTGGAAAAGTCAGCCCATGAAACCAAAGAAAGAATGATTTATTGATGAAGTACTCAGTACTACTCAATGGTGTGTTTCATCCGATCATAAAGATTGCCAATAATTTTTTTATAATTATTTATTGCCGTAAGAGGGCATTCTGCGGATTTATTACGCGTCGTTATCAAAATAAGTTTAGAAGTGGATGAATGAAACACTTAAATGATTTGCTGTTCGTTGCTTAGAATTTCAAAAATATTTAATAAAGCTCTGTTACACTTATTGCCTTAGAAGGTCATTTTAATAAACCGAATTCAGCATTTTGGCCACAAAGCTAACTGTGTCTTCTAAGACGGTATATTTTCGATGGTCAGTTCTTCTACACCCAATAGACCGCTGGTGTACAAGTCCTCCAAAGGTAAGTCCTTTACCACACTAATGAAATCGTCAACAGCGCAAGCGTACGAGTAGCCATTCATGAGGTTCTCCTTATCCCAGCTAACCCACTTGATACGTTTGCCCACGTCCTTGCAGATCACATAGTCTTTCTTGATCTCCTCCAAAGTCACATGCGGGTTATTGACACCTATTAAAACAATGCCGTTGCGCGACTTACGATCGATGACAACACGGAAATATATTTTTGGCACTGGGATCAGACCGTTATTGTTCTCGTCAAAGGCCAGGTACAACTCGCGTTGTACGCCATTAACATCTGGCAGCGTGGAAACACCCCAAATTCCGGTATAGCAGTCTAAATCCAATGCCTGATCGCTAGCGTACCGACGCACACTGTCCTCCACACGTTCCCAATTGCGGCCGTTGAACATCTGCCACTGCGGCGCCGCATTCACGAAGAGGAATGTCGCCTTTTGGGGTGCGCCAAAAATAAAGTCCACCTTGGCGGCCATGTGACCACGCGCCAAATACACATCGATGGTGTCATTGAAGAAAGGCGATGCGTCCATGCCGAGTATTTTACTGATAGTGTTATTTTGTTGTACCTTCGTGTAGAGATTATTCACATTTTTGCCAGCATAAAAGTCACCGGTAATGAAGCTAGGACGTGTGACGCCATGCTGATAGCCGGCACTGGAGGGATTAAGCTTGTGGTGAACGTAACGGGTTACCTCGTTCACTTCATCGTGGCAAACATCCATGATTTGTAGGAAACCCGAGGCGAGCACGAAACCAACTTCCACGAGATCTGTGCCGCCATTGCAGGGGCGTCCAGTGCGACGTGCCGTGTATGCTGGCCAACTGGTGCAGCTAAAATCGGAGAATGGATGAATCACACCATCGACAAGGAAGTACTGCTTTTGTAGACACTGTGCTGTGACTTTAGTAAGATTGCTAAACGGCGCTATGAAAGACGTGTCGCAGTACATATCGATGTAGGCGCCGTTAGATAATTCGACCACACCTGCAGGGTTCGGCACTAACCATTCCAGTTGGTTTGGTGGTGTGAAGATCGGTGCTGGATCATTGAGATCACCATTAACATCGAATGCACAGTCACCGCGCACCACGACGCCTCCACTAATCTCTGGTGGTGGGGTTGTGCTGCTGAACGGCCCGTCCGTGGTGACGTCGGTAGTTTCATCAGTTACGTTTATGTATGGAGGTGTGGGGTGTGTATCAGCCGTAGATAATGTTGGATATGGTGTGCGGGGTCCGTCATTCTCAGTATTCGGAAGTAAGCTTTTTACTGCGGTCTCTTTTGAATGCAGTATGCCTGCCTCCACATCTGCTAATAAGCAAGCTAGCAGTAGCGCGAGCTTCACCGCTTTTCCACCCGAGTACATTTCGGCCGTTCGCGTTAAACTGTTAAAGTCTTGAGAGGTATTTGGTATTTAAATAAATGTAGACCATCAAAGTTTGGCACGCAAATCTAATCAAGTTTAGACCAATGTGCCTTCGTAATGGTTGATAACCCATAATCCACCGCAACTGAAAAATTAAAGCGTTTATGGCATATTTGTAGAATTTTAGATTACAAATTATTTGTTACTTCACTGAGATTTTATTACCATTGATTAGCGGTATACTATTATATTATTATAGCAATTAAGTTACTGGGAGTTTGTGTTTTGGCTGGCAGCGCAATAAAGATTTAGAAATACCTTTTCTATTACCTTTCTGCATAGAGTTTTACTCAGATAATTGTGAAAACTTTACATATTTTAGGGTTACTTTGCTCGAATTCAGATTGGGAACTCCGCTTCCGGGGTTACCGTACTTTTTATGACACGAAAAGAAGTTCTTATATGGATGTTTTTGATATACTTTGCAAAAGCAAGTTCAATATATTGTATTATATTCTTTAGATTGTTGTAATGAAATGAAGATGAACAGTTGTTTAGTGGCCGAAAATGAGTCGGACCTCACTTACTGCAAATAATGATACCTAACGGACTGGATTGACTATATTTCATAATTGGATTGATTATGTCTTTGAAGAAAAGTTAAAAAATAATTATTACAAATGATTGTTAATTATATAATTAAGAATTTTATAGAAGCTCTTAAAATTTGTAAATCAATCTATAATTTCAAATTAGTAAAATTTTTACGAACTCGCTCTTTTTAAAGAGAAAGGCCGTGTTTTAGGACCAAAAAGGGAATATTTGTTAAAGTAAAGTAAAGATGTATGGTTTTTATTAACAAAACATTCGATCTCGTCGCTCAAATAAAGAAAGCTTATCTTTCACAGCAATGGCCATCCGGCAAACACTGTTAACACTGGGACAACAGTGGCAGTCTTATCTGTGGTTATAGGCAAAGGCTTTCTGATATCTTTATGTGTTTCATCTATCGATAGCCTCTGGTTGTTCTTAAAACAATTTTTTTTTATTTTCTCATTCTTTTATTTACTACGAATGATTTATTGAGGGGCCGGCAGTCCAGTTTTTGGCTGTGCACGTGCTCACATCCCATTGAATTACAAATAAAAAGAAACCGTACCTGAGTGATGTACGGGAGTAAAAACATATAAAGATATACAGTAAACACGTGTTTAGAAAATATCAACCTTGATAAAACAGAATTTAGAACAAGACACAGCACAGTGCCATAAAGAGAAGCTACTTTCAACTTCGTAACGGTGGATTGTGAATAAGCGAGAGCTTATGTTCTTTAGGCGTATAGTGGAAGTGGGAGGATTGATTACATGATGAGGTACATTATTTATATGTAGATATTGGTATGTGTTTGGTTGTGTATATGTATAAACAATTATGTTTCACATGCTGTTGTTTGTGTAGCTTGATTATGCAAATTTAAAGACAACAAGTAAGGAAGGACTAAGTTTGGCTGCAATGAAAATTTTATACTACGACAAGCATGAATCAAAGCTAGGGACCTGAAAAAGCTATATTTTTCATTAAAAAAATACTGTTAAGAGAAAACCCAGTAAAGTTCTTTAAAACAAACATTGTAATATTTTTCGAGCTAGATGCGATCACCGACGGCGCTAAGCAAAAGGTCCTTCATTACAGCAGTAATTCCACCTCTCTCCTTGGATGAAATATAATGTAAAAATATCTACTAAAAGCTGTTTTAGAGTAGTACTGGTCCGATTCAGCCGATTTTAGACATGAAAACAACCTATTGATAGAGAAGAATTATCCCTGAATATCAATTACGTATCTCACAAATTGCCCGATATTTGAGATTAGAAGTCTTAAAACTAGGGGTTGGAATAGTTTCTGTTGAATTTCAACAATTTTGATCATCAGCATTTGTATGCCACTAAAGACATTATTCGTGCAAGGTTTTATCTTGTTACACTGAATGCTTGTTGATTTGTCTACTGGAAGGTGAATGAATGAAGTGGAACTTAAAATTTGGCTATATGGGAAGTAGGCGTGGTTTTCCGATTTCGGTTTCGAAATATAAAAATAATAACATACCAATTTTGGTGAAATCGCTTGGTTGGTTTCCGAGATATGGGATTTCAGTAAAAAATGGGCGGCGCTAGTAGTCAGACTTCGTCCACTTTCCCACTGTAACATAAAGAATTCAGAAGATTTTCACGTACCAAATTTGGTCGAAAATTGTAGAGCGGGTCCTTAGATATGTTATTTTCTAAAAGTGGGCGGCGCCATACCCGTCGTCCGATTTTAACCCGGCTCCATTACAGACCTCTCATATCATCTCGCTTTTAGTAGTTTTTAACGGACAGAGGACCAAAGCTAAATCCACTCAGATCGTCATTCTGATCATTTATATATATGTATATAGTTACTTTTTGGAGTCTCCGGCGTTTCCTTATATGTGGTACATACTGCGTGGTAAACTTAATGAACCCTGTTTAGGGTGTAAATATTACCCTTTAGTATGTGGTGCCAGTCAACTTTTTGCTGACTTACAAATTGGCCTCTTTCCATTTTCTCTTTATTCACACATTTTTTTTTACATATATTTCACTGTTGCTGCCACTTGTGGCGTGCAGAGAATGCATACTTTTAGGTATTTGAGCTTTCATGTTGTTTATTTTTTGTACACAAGCGGACGTCGCTTTTCTAGTTTTTGCAGTGGCTTATGTTGTGTATTGTTAGCTTACAAATGTCTTTCGAAAGACAGCTTGATAAACTGCTACCAGACGAAACCTTATTCGCTGTCCGCTTTATAATAGCGCAAAAAATGCCAAGCTTCTCTTCTTCTTGTTGGCTTAGCACTTACAAACGAAGCAACGACCCTCCGTCAACCTTCATACCTTTCATACCTCCGCCAACAGTTTAAATCCATTGGACTGCACTTCATTTCCCTTCGTTTTTCTCTGCTGATATATTGGTCAGCTAAAGAGTATTTTTTGGCGGACACAATCGAATTTTTTCCGGAGATTTTTTTAGCTAATTTTTGAATATATATACATATGTACTTGACGCTATAGAATTTTGTGTATATAGATATATATTACATATATATTAAGGCAATTTGTGAGGAACTTGCTTTGAACTGCGGAAAATTAAGTATTTAATCTCACAATTTACCTAGCCTTGTTTAAGGTGGAAATCCGTTGTGATATCCTGAACTCTCATCATGAGGCGGCTAATATCAATTCCAGTCAATTCACCGGGTTCTTAAATATTATGGCAACCGAGATGCTGTAACCTCAGTCTAACATTAGATGGACTGTGTGGAAAAGTGACAGTTCATCTTCCTCATTGCAACTTTGATAAGTTGTGTCCTCCAAACCATTTCGACTCTGTTGCGGAGCTAGGAGTTCAATCGACCTTTTATGTTAAACTCTGGAGCAGAAGGCTTTTGCCACCAATGCTTGCTGAGCATACGAATCCACTGCTACCTTGATGGCTGGCACCTCTGCTCGAAAGATACTTTAAAGGTCTGGCGGTTTGAAAGAGGATTTGATTGAGAGCTCTCGGCAGAAGACAGCCCCTTCAATCTTTCCTTTTAATTTCGATCCATTCATGAAAATGCTCACTGCCCGAACACGCATATCCTCGCAGAGATATGTGTGTGGAGAAGATGTCATTATGAGTGGTAACAAGTTATCAGCCATGTAGTCGAAATAAAAGAGTATTTCGCTATATAGTATACTTAACCTGTTTAGTTTCCAGTGGTCTGATAGTAACCTTCACAACAATATAACTGCCGGCTATGTCCACAAGTGCTAAAGGTAGAATGACATTAATGAGAACCGCTCGTTGAACAGTTTCTAACTGCTTAGCGGGTGTGGCTTTACTCAGCGCCCACTGCCATACAAATTTCCCATAGAAAAATATTTGCTTAGATACCCTTTCGTAAAGCCAAAACATAACTTAAACTCACTGCTTCTCAATAGCTAATTTGCAACAATACATGGCAACAAATTCGCCCTCTCGTCAATACTGGGCGTCCACGATAGCTTCTTATTATGAACGGGGACTAAATACTTGCCTTTTCGACTGGGTGAAGGCAAAAGCCTCAATGGGAAGGAATGCATCGGGGATATTATACTTTCTTCGAATTAAACAAATGCAGTTTTATACAACATTTAGGTAAGTTAGTGTTAATTCAAAAGGTATCCAGGAATTTCCCTCTAACCATGAGAGCGGCATCACCCGGCAGCCTCATCTTTAGAGCCCTTTCAATGGGTCACTTACCACTAAGATTCAGAATAAAGGACCTTTCCACGATCAGATTCCGGTCGCACATTGTGGAATGCGAAATGTATATTATTAGATATTCGTATTTCTGGAATGATATTTTTTGCGACGAGTTTCATAATTGTCGCCAAAGATGTCCAACCAAACTTTCTTAATCGCTCAACCACAATAGTATCGCTTCTGCATTTCTGTGCATTATTGAAATATATAATGTTGTGGATTTTTGAGGTATTTTATGACTTATGCAAAAAAATTGAGATGGTTCTAATGCAGAAGAGGTCATTGTAACCACTTTAGTTTCCACCCGTCATCATTTCCTGTATCTCTTTCTGGAGCATAAGGCTTCACTGACCGGACCGCTTCAGCCCAATTAAACAGTCTGCCGTTTCGCTGTGTTTTATATGTTAATGCAGCAGAAGAACTTTCAAACTGTAGCTAATACAAAACTGGATGTGGTATTGTTTGTGTAAAGGAACTCAATCAGTTTACTCAACTAACGTTTCGATCCATAGTCACGCAAATATAAAAATAATAGTTGGAAAAGGTCGAGTCCATCGAGAATCATCCACTATGAGCTGCTCCGCTATAGCCAGATGCTTAATTCAACCATTTACTACGAACAACTGGGCAACTTGAAGCAGAATTGGTCAACCTGAAAGGGGTAGTGTTCCACCAGAACAACACCAGACCACACACTTCGTTG